ATAAAGGGTCTATATGCAGATGGTGCTACCACCCTTCTACAAAAACTGTGAGTTGTACCTTTTAATAATTCATCTAATCACTTCTCATGAACTTAAAACATCTAATAAATGATTTTTTTTTTTCAGTGCTAAGTTGCAAGTGCTAGCATGATAAACTAAAATACTGTAGAATACTAAAATCATTACATGTCATTAAGTGTCAACACAGTTATTTTGTGTGTAAAATAATTCATTTCATTTTAGGAAAGGGGGACTTCTGGACCCTTCTCTGAAGCAGCAGGTTTTTATACACTCGCTCCCTAAGTGGTTTAAGAAAATCCTTTCCTTCCTACTAAAACCTGTGGTGAGTTTTCTCATTTGGTGACAAACATGTGTAAATTCAAACACAGGACTGAACATAATCTTGGAACTTTTATCTGATAAGAGCCTATGTTGTAAAGTGCCAGATTTTCAATGGGATTAAAGCCATGGCTTTGTGCAGGCCAGTCAATAACGTTCACTTGTTTTTTGCAGTCACCTCGTCTGTCTTCCAACATTAGTGCTATTTGTGGAGTTCGGTGAGAAAGTATTGTTGAAATTCATCATCTGTACATGATTCTTTTTTCATATAATACATGTGATGGGCAAAGTCATAAAATAATGCTTTATTTTTTTAGATCTGTTTCCGATCTGTGGAAGCAACATGCTGCTGATGAGGTAACTTTAACTTTCAACTAATGATGCATGGTTGAGTATCACAGTACAATTTCAAAAGAGGTGGGACACTGTGTATAATGTAAATTAAAACAGAATGCAACGTTTGGCAAATCTTACCGACCTATATTTATCCACAATAGCACATAGAAAACAAATCTAATATTCAAACTGAAAAAATAATGTATACCATGTTCAGAAAAAAAGATTCTTCTACTACAAAGCCATGCTGTTGTAATAGCTGCAATATACAGTTTAGCATTGACTCGCTCAAATATCTTCAGCAAGAAAATATCATTCTAATGGAAGTTTTATGTTCCTCTAAACCTAAACCTGTACACAACTTTCAGTATTAAAAAGTGTCTTTCCAGATATGCAAGCTGCCAATGCCATGGTGCTGAAACATGCAGGCTTTTGAGCTGAGCACTAACAACAAGCCAGATGGTTCCTTTTTCTTTAGTCCGAAGTCAAAGGAGCTTGCAAAGAAAATCGTCTGGACTT